CATATGCCTAGAAATTTCATAAATGATAAAGTTTTAAACCAGAATTTAAATCTGAAAGGTTAACTGCATACATAGATTAGTATCCTTGATTTTTATCTTTTGACTTTGGTAAGTCAATTAACATTTAAGGAGCTGGTTGCACCAAGATGCTGCAGATGCTCTGTGGTATCCTGTGATGCAAAACAACCCTAAACCTATTTTAAAAGACTACTGCTCTTGGATAAACCGTACTCCAAAATAGCACGCACCAGTCCAAATCTACCAGTGTGTGCAATTCTAAAATAAATAGAAATGCACATATGTGCACATTCACACACGTACATGAATATATATAAACTGCTGTATTTTTGTATTCACAAGACATACATATTAACGATTAAAAAAATCCTTTGCAATGTGCTAACACCACAATTTTTAATGTTCTTGCTACAAACGTCCAAAACAATTAACAAACAAAAAACCCCACGTTAACTGGAATTAAGGTTTTCGATTGCCTTTATGTAATTTAAGGAAGAAAAAGCCTAAAGTTGTAGCTGTGGCTACAGCATACATGGTGGAAATATCAGAAATTTGCTGTTTACACCTAAGACAAACAAAAGGAAAAGCAGAGTAGAGGTACTCAGCAACCAAAACTGCCTCTTATGATATGCAGTGATCATTTGACTGTTCTTAAGATATGTCCCATTTGTGCCCCCACCTTGGACAACTTTTCTTTTCAAAACACAAAGACTCAAATTCCATGTCTCTCACAACTATTTAAAGCTGTTTTACTGAGTTAAATTAAAGCTGTGTGGATGGCTCCACTGTGTAATTAATAGTGGTTACACTTATATTTTCTTCCATAACTTCACTGTTTTTGATACTGCTTTTGTGGCATCTAGAATATTACATCGGAAGAAAAATCAACATAGAAACTGCCCTTGACATTATTTATACTTTGTTAGCAGAGTCTACTGTAGCATGCATTTTCTTACCGGTATCTATGAACAAATATACCCTTAAAAATAGAGTTCATCATATTTTCAATTTCATCTTGGTTTTCTTGTAGCTGCAAAAAACCAAAACAAAAATAAATAAAAGATCATTGCTTATTATCATTTGATATTCTACAGTTCCCTACCGGGAAACATTAGAAGACCATGGAAGAGCACTTAATTAATTAAAGGTATTAGTAGATTCACCATTTTCTACTTTTCCAGCATATCCCTATATTGTGTGCATATACATACATATATCTACATCCATATACATGCAATGACTTAATGGAGGAAAGTTAACATTCTCTGCAAACATCAATTAATTTAGTTTCAAATTAGTCCTTAGAAGTGGTCATCACCATTTTTTCGCTACTGAAAATTAGACAAGTAGTGACCATGTGTTCAGTAATGTCAGCAGTCCTGTATTCACAGTTAAACAGATAGAACTGTGAGTGAATGACAGCTGCAGAAATGAAGCTGGTTATAGATCAGGAAACCCCTCTGAAAAATTCAATGTCCTATTTAAGAGAAGTACTCTTCTCAATCTTAAATGTAGCTATCAGTTGCTTTAACTTCAGCACCCATGATAACTGAGTTTCTGAACCAGGAAGCTTTCCAGAATCAGAGCGTGGGTGCTTGACATCGGAGCATACCTGGCAGCCAGGCCTTAGAGTGCCAAAAACCAAACCAAACCCAAACAAATAACCAACCTAAATAAAAAAGGTGTTATGAGCATGTTTTTATAAATAAGAGCATTTCTTTTAGAAAACTTAGTATTTCCTGTGTAATATGAGCGCATTTTGTAAGTACCATGGAAAGCTTACTTTGTGTCAATGAGTATGTTAATACATCCTAAAGGAACATCTTGGAATCAATTAAAGTATTCTCATACTGTCAGCTTTTGTACTAAACTAAGTAAGTATGACTAAAATACACCAAAATGCAGCTTTGTTAAATAAGATGATGCCAACTTTATGCAGTCAGCTTTTGGAGCAGAAATGCTGCTACATTCAGAGCCACCACTCTTCCATCAAGGTGTTCCTTAATATCAAAGCAGAATACCACAACATGTGTGAATGTAAATTTTTCCACATTTTCAGTATGAAAACCACAACAGAGCATTGCTAGTACAGAGTGCATATATGCATAAAATAATAAAACCTGTATAATTATGGACATATATATTTAACAGATAAAACATCTTAAAGCCAGAGGCAGAATTATGATCAGCTGTTTTGACTTCCTGCATGCAGGAGCTCATAAACACTTTCACCTAGGGGTTTATATTTTGCAAGCCATGTTTATAAATATTGCTACAGTATCTTCCAGATAAGATCTAAAGTAGCTTGCAAAACTCAGCAAATGAAGTCTCCCAGTTTCCTAAAACATAAGGAGGTGCTGTCTCCATTTTGCATACAAGGAAACCGAGGCACTGAGGGTTCTCGACTAAATTGTTAAACACCTGCCAAAGAAATTAATTTCATAGTAAATGGGATTATGTACAAAGGGAAACGTTGGGTGCACACGAGGCTCTGCGAATACCAAAGGGCCGGAATACAAAACAAGCATTATTTGGACATGGCTTCTGGGAGAAGCACTGTTTTCAGCACCAGCTCAACCCACTGCACAGACTAAACACTTGTTCAAAAATACGTAACCCAAAAGGGAGCATGAATTTCTAATCACTCCTCAGTTGGTTGACTTCACAGGCTACAGGCAGGCAAATATCGACAGAAACATGGGGCTAGAGACAACCTAGCACAGACTGTGGAGTAAAACGAGGATAGGAATGAACCAAGAAGCCTCAGGCGGCCTTCTGAAAAACTACTGAGGTCCTGAAAGGGAAAGCTCTCAGAGAACTTTGGGTACAAATCATTAATATAAAAACACACCATGGAAGTGACGTAGGAAAGACTGAACTTTATAAGCCATGACAAGGTTAAGATACTGAAGAAAATTATACTTTGACATTGCCTTGAGGGCAAAATGGAGCAGCATCATACAAGACTAAGCGGCATAGACGAGGGGACAACATGGATGGCTTCCCTCCCTCTTCTTCTGTACGCAATTTACAGCTCGCTATAAACATGGTAAGTTATCAGCTGTATAACTGATACAGGGAGCCAGGTGCTGGAGCAGCGCTGATGTAGAAGCAGAATCGGAGATTCAGTAGGTCCATGTGAGATCCCTTTTAGTCTTGTCTGCTAATATTTGAAAGATACTATTCTTAAATGTGTTTTAGATTCAGTAATGAATTAACAATTCTTTGAA